ATAATTAAAAAGGAAGGATAAATTGTGAATATATTTGGCAACCGTGCATATATTTCATTGTTTACATTTGCGGAGGCCTTTGAAATTATGTATTTTAGGAACTTTAGATTATTACAAAGTTTTCCGATTTCTCCATATCAATGGAAAATGTCTGCAATATTACTGTTTTGATAATAGACATCTCAAACCGAAGATAATTAAGCATGAGAAGTTGGATGATTACAATATTCTTAGTACGTGGTTCTTGAATATAATAGTAAGTCTAGACACTGAAATCGGAAAATTGCTTTTATAGAAACTTTGCTGTAATAAAAGTTTCTTAATCTAAAACTATTTTAATATGAAACATTCACGGAATTGATAACAACGATATATAATTATTATTTTAATATTGAAAATATCATTTATTAATAGAGTTTTTACCTAAGCGATATTATGGCCAGAAATATTAAAGGTTTTTTACTTTATATGCAAGCAATCAAATTTTCTATACCGTTTAAAATTATTTTCTCTTACCCTATTTTCTTAAAATTATAAGGGGAAAAATCAGAAAAATTGTGATTGCAATTTTTTTTCATAGGAATTTAACGAAACTTGACTAAAACATTAATAAAAGAGCACTTCAAATCTTAAAGATAAAAAAAATGCATATTTCCTATCTTAAAAATACATAAAACAGCCTGCTGATGCTATTTACCCCCCCCCCTCCCCCTCACACACACGCACATACAAAATCAAGATCTGAAATCAATATTAAGTGTGATCTATAAGGACTAAACAGGCATGGCATAGATGATCCATATCAAATTATGGTGCATATTTACTCTATCGACTGCAAATCCCATTTCTGTTTAAGGCAGTTCAAAGATCCTGAAAGGTTGTTGGATCGAGTTGTGGGCAGCAGTTTATCTCCTTAGAGCATCATATATACTCGTATACTCGATAGCACACAAGTCTGGTGAATATGTGCCAATCCATATGAACAATAATCCCCGCACGATGTAATTCTACATCATTGATACTATGTGTGGTATAGCATTATCGTATTGTAAGATGAAGGAGTCAACAACTACACCTGCGCATATCGAACAGTTGAATCAAGGTTGCCGTCTTTGTATGTTAGCCCCAACAATGCCTTTTGTGATGATAAATAGGTTACATACCTGCTTACAGATATAAACTGAACCCATTAAATCTATCTATTTTATGGATAAGAATAGAATAACAGCTTGTTTATGGTTTCCATGAAACAATCCACTTCTCAGTTTGAAACTGAAACTAAAACTCATCCTTAATGCTATTAACTACTATTCACATTGTAACAAACGATAATTCGAATTCACAAACAATTTATTTTATGACCTATAACTTTGAAGAACCTTTAAGAAAAGTGATACTCATTTAAAAAAAAAAAAAAAAAAAAAAAAAAAAAAAAAAAAAAAAA